ACATAGTGAGCTCAAGGCCAGCCTCAACTACATAATGAAAACCTGTAAAAAAAAAAAAAAAAAAAAAAAAAGAATCCAAAAACATAGAAGTGCTAATAAAAAGTGTTAGTTTAAAAAAATCACGAACAATTTTTATTAAAACGTTTTGAAAAGGTGCACCACTATACAAGAATAACAGAAAATGTGGCCATGGTGGTCATACCTGTAACCCTAGCCCTGGGAGACAGAGACAGGAGGATCACAGGTTCAAGCCCAGCCAGGGGACACAGCAACTTCATGAGACTCTATCTCTAAATAAATAAATAAAAAGAGCTGGGATGTAGCTCAGGGCACAGATCCTGGTTTCAGTCCCGAGTATTACAGAAAGAAAACAAAACAAAACAAAAATTCAAAAAAAGGAAAAGAAAGAGAAGAATATTTCACTGACTTTAACTTGGTCTTACATATTTTTTTTTTGTTTAAAAGAAGGGAAAACATGGTAATGAAATTTAGATTTAAGAGAAAGGAAAACATGTTAATGAAATTTGGATTTCAATAGGTCACACATGCAAGGTTTGATTTTAAGGTTACTAAAAGAAAAGTTCTGAGCTCGATTCTTGGTACCAATAAATAAATAAATAAATAAATGAAATAAAAGAAAGGGAATGTATAAAATGGACAAATGAAGAAAATGCATGATCCAAGAAAAGGCAGAAAAATTCCAAGCAAAGCTCTGATTAGGTACCTATCAATTCATATTTATATTAAGCATATATTTGTACATCAATGTATTTATATGTATAGTAATATGTATATATTTACAGTATATATAGATATCCACATATATGTACACACATACACAATAACACACATGGAAAACATAATACAGATTTCCAGATAGTGATTTCTCTAGAGAAAGGGAGAGAAGTGGGATAGTTAGGGTTAGGAAGAAAAGAGGTGGGTATTGCAGTTAGTTTTCTCACACTTTTTATTTTTCAATTTACATGAAGCAAATGTGGTAAAATACCATGTATCTTTTTTAACCTCTAAATCTGACATACATGGGAATGAGGAAATTTTCTGCCTATCTGAAATATTTTATTTTTCTTCCAGTACTAGGAATTAAACTCACGACCTCGCGCTTGCCAGGCAGGCGCTGTGCCACTGAGCTAAATCCTCAGCCCCTATTTGAAATATTTTATAAACTTTTTAAGTATGAAGTAAACTCTTGAATTTTTGCTAGTGTTTTTTTAACCTTCCCACTATCTCTGTGGACCAAAGTTTCTACCTTCCTCTGTATCACCTTAAGCTTCTACTTACTTCACTTTTCCTTTAAGCGTCACACAGTCCTTAGCACAAGTACAGCTCTCTGTTCCTAGTGCTTCCACCCTCCAGGCCTCCAAATTACACAAGGAAAAACGCAAACCTTATTGCACAAAACCTCCTGCAGGTTTGAAACCACTGAGCACAGTCATTCAATATTTATTTTCAAGCATCCAAATTATATGGGATATTAAATTGTTTTTTAAAATATTCTCTATGGACTTTGTACGGATGCAGACTATACCTCGGTATTGGATTTAATTTAAAAAACCAGTAAGGAGCCTCTCTGAGAAAGCGTTTCTTCAGCTGTAAAAGGAGGATAGCTTCTGTCCTGTGGAGTTGTTCCAAGGATTCGGATAATGTAAGCAGTCACCATTCAAGTAGACCGACACAGTCAGTGCCAGGAAAGGACAACTGCAGTACGAACGTGAGTCTTCATCAGCAACGAGGCTGCAGCGGGTCCTCACTGACTTGTGCTCTTTAGCATGCACCGGTCATAAACAGCGTGGACATTGTGAAATAGCCATGAATTCGCGAAACTACAAGGAAAAACATCCAAATTTGGAAAAAAGAAGCCAACAGTTCCACTTAGTGATGAGGACTAGTCTCTCTGAACCCAACTAAGCTACAAGAGACGGCAAGTTCGCATTTCAAGTCAGCTCTGTACCGACCTGGGGAATGGGGTACACATCACAGAACTAAGCCTGAAAGCACACTTCTCTACATGAAGCACTGTCCGGTGAAGCAACTGAGTACCTTGGTAAAGAATGATTACACATTTTAACAGATTAGAAAAATATGCTTACAGAGATGCTTACAAAGCTTCCACCAAGAAATGCAAGTCCCAGGTCATCACATTATTAAGTTCTGGTTTCATCTTGCTGAAGTATCTCAGCAATAAGAAGCAAAAATAAAAGGAACCCTCAAGGAATAACTTGCAGTGCACTGAATCACCCTCTCTCAGTAGTTTAGTGTCTTAGGATAAATGAAAGGAAGCAAAGAATGTGAACAATTGGTTGTAGAAAAGGGGAAAAATGATAAGCACACTTTAAAAATAAACCCAATCATGTTTCAAAAGTTTAATATAGATTTTTATAAAACTGAACTTGCAGTGCTGAATATGAGTTTATATTTTGTAACTTAAATAATCTGGTACATTTCAATAATTATATACTGCATGCCAGAAAGTACAATTAGTTTGGTACTAATTTGAATATGTACAATGTAATTCAAGCGTAAATTCTGAAGTTGAGTTCATAGACATGCTGACCCTCTTCATAGTAAGGACTGGCCAAAGGTTTCAAAATATGCATAAAATGTAAGTTAACTTCTCCATGACCTCAGTCTCCCACCAATAGAAACAATACATTATGTGAAACCGTCCTGTCAAGACAAAAAGAAAGGCTTTCAAATGCCAAGACAATTGAATACTTTTCCTAGTATTTAAATCTATAGGTAGATGAATTTAAAACAGCATATGAATTTTTTCAGAAACAATTAATGATAAAATATTCTTATTTTTCATTTGGTATATATTTACAAAGTGTACTCCCATATTGCTGAAAAGAATAAATATTTAAATTGAAGATAAACATTATCAAAATAATTATATTTCTTTTATTTACAATATTTTGATAAATAGAATGAAATGTTTTACTGTAACAAGAGCTATCTCATGAAAATATTATAAAAAGGGTCTATTTTCCAGTTGCTAAGTAGAATTACACAGTTTGATGAGCACATTATGGTTTCTTTTTCACAAGCCATAACACTGGTGGACTAAAAATTATCTTGACTTAAATTGACTTCTACTCTCTGTGATGTAAGCTCTTACAACATCCTGAAAGGAAAATACTGACGTTTATTTTTTATTCATTCAGTGAAATGTGTAACTTCACTGCTGGGACAGGTCATATACAGACTAAACAAATGTTACACAAAATCACTTCAATAAGAAATCCTTCAGGCTGAAATATATGAATCAGGTGATTTAGCCTGGAATTATCTGTGTCAAAAAAATCAGCAAAGGAAGAAGAAAAGCAATTCTTTATTTTTATCCAAATATATCATACTTTATAATTTAGTTAGTCTGAACATAAACTTTACCATATATCATCCAAACCAAGACAATATAATAGTGAAAGGAGTGCTACTAATTACACAAGTACAACAGACATAAACTGGAATTTTCCTGGGTGGAGTGAAACCTAGGGGTTAAACTGCAATTACATGCAGAAATCATACCTTTCCCACACATATGTGGAAAAAGATAAAACAATAATCATTCACTTGCATTAATTAATTTTGGCAAAAGTAGCTCTTTTCATTTTCATGTCTCTGTTCAAATATTGCCCACTTCCTTTAGGTAGTTACCTCTTCTAAAATAATTGATCCTTATTCTACATTTCCTATTATGTTCCCTTCTTTTCATTTAACTGATATTTTGACTGTCTGATTGCGTGTCTTGTGTTTGGTCTGTCTCTTCCCTACTCTCCCACTGGTATGCACTGTCCATGAAGAATTAGCTCCTGGGAACTGGTCATGCTCAAATCTCCAGGAACTGAATAATGCCTAGGACATAGAAGGCATGCAAAGATTTTGTTGAATGAATGAATACATTCAGAGAGTTTGGTTTTGGTTCTTCTTTTTGATACCAAGAACAATTTGCAATGACTCTCCAAAGTGAATTATGGCTCTGCTTAGTCTTAAGGTGTTGGACTAAATGATCTATGCAGTTTCTTCCACTGCTAATACATACACCATGCCCTTCGTCCCTCTTTCTCTATTTCCTACAACCAGGAAATAAGAAAACTTGATCAAGGGATAGGACAACCACTCTATTCACAGTGGATGAATGCTCAAGGTCGATCATTTTGCCAGTAATAATTCCCTGGTATATGTTTGCACCTACAGAATTTGGTTGATACAGAGGTAGCCAGAAGATATTATTATAGTTAATGATGGAATTGTTGATGTAATAATTTGCCAATAATAAAATTATTATTAGGTTGCTAAAAATAGGAAATGATGGTACCCAAAACCATCCATTAGTGGTGTATATATCAGTGAGAACTGGATTAATTCTGGACAGACTTACATTGCAATGCCCAAAGAAGTTCCACATGAAAAGTTATAGTATGTTGATGAGAAGCCCTTCTACATTTTCATGAAAGTCTCTGCATTCCAAAACTTTTTCTACTGGCCAACAGTTTTGGTTCCTACTAGTGAGTTATGAATATTATTAGATAGTGAGCTTAGAAAAATCAGTGTTCAACAAAAATTGTTTAATATATTTTCAACTCATTTCATTTTAATTTCTCTCAGGTCTGTTGAAACATTCCTCCTTAACTGTGAATGACAGGCCTTGGATGGAATCCCCAGGTGAAGAAAAAGTCTATCCTCTTACAACAAATGCCATAAACAAGAGAACAGCATAAAAAAGACTCAAGTAGACATACATATTTTGAGCATAAGTATTTATCATCCGCTTCATTGTATTGTCATGTGTCTTTAACGATATATTTTGGTTTTTTAATGAACAAAAGTATCAGAAGAAGAGTAAATATGTTTCCAATTGATTCAGTTTGAAGTAGAGGCCATTAACTACGCAATTTCACAGATTCTGGTATATTCAAATATAACCTGGCTACTTGCTTTCAGAATAATTGAATATTTGTTCAGAGCACATATTTGTGTTAGGTCATTTCATAACATTTTTAGAGATTTTAAGTAGTCCAGGAATGGGCACATTCTTAAATTAATCAACATTTATTTATCTCCAGTTCTAGCAATTTTGAAAAATCATGAGAAATTTGAATGGTATATCATGTACTGGAGTGTTCAAAAATTAACAATCTAAATACATGATTATAGTTTTGGAAGGCCACAAATAGCATAAACTTGTATGACTTTCTCATGATAAAGTACAATTAAAAACCCCCTATGACCTTAAACAGCAAAAAACATTAAATCAGATTTTAAAATGACAAATAATTTAAGGCTAAAATATTTGGTATCAATAATTAATGCCAGTAGCCTTTCTAGTCTAATAAAGTAAACATGCACAAGAACTACAGTTTTGAACAAAACATCACAATTGTATCAGATATATATGTATGTGCATGTATATAGAAGTGTGTGTGTGTGTGTGTGTGTGTGTGTGTGTGTGTGTAGTTTTATCACCCTGAAAGCTATCCACTCATGTTTGGCTTAATACATGTTTTAGAAATGATAGGGAGAGTACCTCTCCTTTAAATATATATTTATATATATATATATTTCCAGAATGTACAATATAAATATGCCATATATAAACCATGCCATAAAACTAAATGCAAAATTTGCACATTATTGCATGCTTGATGTGATAATACATGCCCAGTAATAACTTCCTCATGATGTCCTCCCTTCTTAGCTGTTCTTTTCTGCACAGTTGCAATACTTGGGGATGGAGAGTTCTCAAATACAATTATGGAACTGGGGGAAATGAAACTTCCAAACTTTTGCAGGGAGGATTATCTCATCAGCCAAATATTGGACTATACCTAAATCAAAACATTAAATAATGCCTAAGGAGGTGTTTGGTTATGTGAAGCGGTCAGAGTTCATTTTTCTTAATTTGGCTGGAAGATTCCCTTCCATCCTGGCTGCTCCTCCAGCCATCTTTTGAAGCTTTGGTGGCAAATCAGCCACAGACTGACTCATGGGATCAGATAACATCTTGGTGGTTTTAGATACCAGTTTTTCTTCTGAGTTTCCAGGAACTGAACTTATTCGTTGAAGTTTCATAGGCAAATCTCCCAAGCTGTAGGCTTTTTCTGAAGTTGTAGAACTCATCCTCAAGAGTTTTTTGGGAAAGTCTTCTCTTCCAGTAATTTTCTGAAGCTTTGATGGAAGTTTTGTACTAATGTCGTCTAGTCCATCTAAGCACTCCACAGAATTGTGCCTTTCTTTGCTATTAGTTATGGCTGGCGCTATTAAAGGGGATGACATGAGAAGCATTTCTTCTTGCTCTTTCACACTGTAAGGTGGGGTGGGGACTTCAAATGTTGCATGGAACTGAGAGTAATCAACTTTAAAGAATCCTTCTTCTAAAGAAATTACAGGGAAAAAACGATGACCCCAAAGGACTTCATCTTCAGTGTATGATGTTCGAGCTTGACAAGTCATCCCTAAAGGCAGAAAAAAAAAGCCTTGATACATTATGCTTAGTTCAAGCACATATAAAGAGAGGTTAATAATTCATTTTGCTCACTTATTTACCTGAGTAGACTAGATGATAGGATAGGAATTGCACTATACATTAACAACTTTGCTACATGTATTTCCTTCTAATGATAAAGAAGGTACTCACACTGGCCGTGCTGCAAGTTTAGTACATCACAATATCATTCATTGTTGTTTAGTCACAAACCAAGAGAACTCTGAACAGATTAATTTCAGAATGTATATGTTTCTATAAGGAGCTAGATGAACAAATTATGCAATCATTTTCTATCCTTTAAGAAGCAATGTGATATACAAAATAAACTACTAAATCCACACTTTCCCACTCAGTAAACTTAAGGAACATATTTGAGAATTATTTCCCTCATATTAGAGCATAGAAAACAACACTTATGTCTTTCTGTGAGCACGAATAAAATGACACGTACAGAGCAGTAAAGTTTATCACGTAACATCTGCACATAGTTGGCTCCTCATAAATGAGAGATCACTTTTCTATTACACAGTGAAAACTTACAATGAAAGACAAAAGAACCAAAATAACTCTCCTAAATTAATAAAAACTAAAGATATTTCTATATTGAACAATGAAAAGTCACAATGCTTATTCTGCTCTTGTGGACCTATAAAGCCAGAATTAGCTTTTGCTCAAGTTTTAATAATCTATAATGCTAAAATCAGTAATCTGGGCCAGTTGATATGCTCCAGGAAATTATGGAATTGGGTTCTGGATACCAATTGTGATTTGCTATATTTATTATGTAGTTTGAATATCATTTGCATTATGGTGCTCTGATTCACATATTTTTATTCTCTTCAAAAATCCCTTTCTTAGGCTGAGTTATTATCAAATCAGTTACCTCTGAACACTCACTTTTGGAAAGAGTGAAAGTATGTAGATTAAAGCCATGTATCAAATTTCAGTCTTACAATAGATTATATACATTTCTGAATGTAGTAATATTCACCTCTCCTCTTCCCTTTATTATCAGACTTCTATCAAATGCCATTAAGATATAAAATGATAGATGCACTAAAAATCATTCTTTTAATAATTAAGTGCAATTTAAACAGGAAATGACAGTCTCTTGCTTCATTCATTTCAATTGCCCTGTCACATAAGCGATTTCTATTGTTTTAAGATGAGAATACTTTGAATAAAGAAATATTCTGTTTTCCTTCCTAAATAGTAATCACAAATACAATATTTACAATCAGAATAAAATGCATAATTAAGATTATAAAGATTTTTAAATTTAACTTGACCACAGGTTTAAGTTTAATAAAGTTTTCACTTTATTAAATCTCTCCAAAATCCGGTCTAATGAATATTACCAGTTATATATTACACAAGGATTAGTTATTACATGACATGTTTTAGGTTAAAAACATATATAGAAAATAAAAGCCTGTCATTTGACAAGGACTAAACTAGGTACTCAAACTCTAATTTATTCTAATCCTTGATAAAGTCTTTTAGAGAAGACATGTAAGAATTTCATTGCTCAGAGGGATTAAATCACTGTACCTTCTTGGGTGCAGATTTACTAAACTGTAGAGAAAATGTATTAGCATCATTCTAATTCCTGTTTGTGTATGGGGGATTTACTTTGCATGATGCCTATAATCTTTTATTTAAAAACCCATTTCCAATTTATCACTATAACTATCATGGAGCAAATATGACTGTGACCAAATATCACTATTCTTAATAAATGCTAAGTCACGAAAAGTTACAGAAACATTCACATATGAAGAAAAATAAACTACCTACAAAGTTATTTGTAAATTTTATGAACACGCACACAGCACCAGTAAGTAGTTTCAATTTTCTAGCCTCTGACTAAATATTGCAAAAGAAATAATTGTAAGTCACCACTTCATCAGAAAAGATTAAACATCTCTTTCTTCAGTTTTTAACAAAACTTCTGATAGAAGAATGAACCAAGAGAACAAATACATCTTGGACTTATCCGTTAAGATATGAAATAATAAAATAAATAATCTGAAGTATCATTAAACTTGTATCTAAGAGCAACCACTCTCTATAAATTCATAAATTCTGTATATATCATAATTTCAATTTAAGGAAAAAGATCAGAAACATACTTCTCTCATTGAGTGGAAGTATTATCCTTACAATGTTATTGTAATTTTTAAAAAAGTCTTATTCCACTAAAAATTTAAGGGACAAAAACTTATTCCATAAAATTGTATAAGCAAGGTGGACTGACGCGCTGGCCCACACTCAGCGTAGCCTAGCGCTTCCATTCCACACATCGGCTTGTCTTTCGATAGATACAAGAATGTTGCAGGTGAACTGAATTCAGTTCATGAACTCTGCTCCACTGTTTCCAACAGCTGCGTAAATATTGAAACAAAATCTGAGCACACCATCGTAACCTGTGGTTTTGATTCGTTTGTTCAGTTGTTGTTGGGGAAACACTGATAAACATAGCCTTCATGACAGGAGGGTGCTGTCCCTTCGCTTGCCTTTCGTGTCTCTCCACGGCACTTCCCCACCCAGCACAGGATAAGGTTTAGAGGAAGAGCCTCAGTGCAAAAGATATTAATTGTGTGATATTTGCTGTGTAACAGCATCTGGTCTTGTGTGCGTGTGTGTGTGTGTGTGTGTGTGTGTGTCTTTTGGTTATATTGTTTTTTAGCCACAACATACTCATCTTATGTGGATGATCCATGAGCCATTTCTGGCTAAAGGAGACAATGAATAATAATTGAGGTAGAGTTATTTTAAAAATTTAATTAATATAACAACTCTTTTCGCTACTTTTACTAAAAACACTTTCCATTCTGTTATTGAATGAGCATTAAATTTGGATGAAGGGAGGAACTCAGTGTGGTGCAAAGCAAAACTGAGAAAGAAAAATGTCAGAAATAAAGAGGCTAGATTGCATCACCTCATTCAAATAGACATACTGCCACTGGAATACAGCACGTTTAATAATAATTTATACTGTTTTTAATTTGTGAATCAATGCATGGAATATATTTTCTCCACAAAATGTTTTTTATCTAAAGACTCAGAAGTCCCAGCTATTTCCAGTAGCAGCATCTGCTGCTTTGCCAGTTTCCACAGTGATGAGCTCATGTTGATTTTCACATTTGTTCCAGTCTGGAATCTGGTTAAAACATGCAAACAGTCATCTTGTGAGCAAAGAGGGCAGTCACATAGTCCTGTTTCTAGAGTGTTATTCACCTACCTTTCTTCAAACTGAATAATAGTTTCAGGTACAAATTTAAGTATGACCTATCTAAAAATAATTTGGATTCAAGAAACAACTGTAAGATAAAGCATTCTATACAGAAGAATGCTATGACACTTTCATATTCTTAGAAAACATAATTATATCTACTTTGAAGCATCCCAATTAAAATTTATATTTTATTTTTTGAATACCAGTTTTGGATAGCTTTTGCAAAAAAGAAGTGAGCTCTCAATTACATCTTATCTTAGCTCATCATCTTAACTGCAGATTGGCAATGAGAGAAATTTTTATGTTTTCCAATTTATAAAGCTTTGACATTGTTATTCATTTATTGACTTCAAATTATTAAAAACAACACAGGTAAAATTAGATTTTAAACCAAAACAATGACCATGCTTTGGAAATGTCTTCTATTTGTGTACCTATATTCGATTGAAACTGTGAAAGGAACAGCAGAAAAACAAACAAAGGTTAAAGCTCTTGAAAACTTTCTTGGTATCATTAAGGTACTCCCATAAATTATTTTAATCACTTGTTGCAAGTCTTCTTAATATAGCCCATGTTCTTTTGGTCTCCCCTGCCATTAAGTATACTTAGGTTTAAAATGTTAAAAAACTCTAAAAATTGGGAATATGAATAATTTTACTATTTTTCTATCTTTTAAAATCTTTTGAATAAGTGTATTCTGACAATTTTTTAAAAAGAATTGCTAATATCCAGGGATTTTAAAATTTAATTTCACCTACTAATGTGGGCAAATTACTAACATATAAAAATTCCCACAAATATTAATCTGTCCATTATCACTAAACTTCAAGAGGACCAAAGATAAGTAATCACCAGACAAAAGTGGGGACAGTGGTCTGTTTTTCTTTTTTTTTTTTTTTTTAACTGTGCATAAACTCTGGGCGTTGAACATGACACATAAGCACTCAACCACTGAGCTACAACTTCATCTCTCCCCTTTTCTGCAACTGAGTCTTGCTAAGTTAAAAAAACTGACCTCAAAGTTGAGATCTTTCTGCCAAAGCCTCTGGAGTACCCAGGATACAGCCACACACTACCGTGTCCCGTTGATGTAGCAGTCACTCTTAATCACTGTTTAAATACAAACCATAATTCTGTGCCTGAACTTTCAAACTCCCAATAAATGTATAAAAGAGGGTATTATGAATGCTAATTGATAAAAGAGAAGTCAGTGCAGGAGAGCTGCAGCTAATTTTAATAATCTATTTAGTAGTGAAAGTAGTAATTAAATTCATATATTTTTCAAATATATAAGGCAGTTACCTCATATATACCAGTTTGCTGTGGAAAAAAGAAAAGTTAATTTCATGTAGTGGGATACAATCCTTATCTTTCTTTTCCTTCAAAATCATACACTGACATTTTACTAACAGTATTTATAAAATTTTAATGTGAACATCTGAATGCCTGTTTTACACTGTAGATGTTGTAGCACCCTAAGTACCTTAATAATTAAAGGCTTGATTCCCCAAAGGTTAAATTTAGACTTTATTTCTTCCATTTTCCCTTTACTTAGTGTTAGTATTAGGGTTCTCTTGGTCTTTTCCATGGCTGCTGATAATCATATGGGAAATGCAGGCATTAGGCCTTGGCAATGCAGTACATCATGATAGTAAAGAGTAGGAACAGAATTTTGACTTTTAAGTTAGTGTTCTTTCCCTAACTGTTGAAAAGGGCAAATCTCCTTCAGT